AAAGGTAACTACGGGGAGCGGGTCGGGGCTGGAGCGCCCGTCTATATGGCGGCCGTGCTGGAGTACCTGACGGCCGAGATCCTGGAGCTGGCGGGCAACGCGGCCCGCGACAACAAGAAGACGCGCATCATCCCGCGCCACCTGCAGCTGGCCATCCGCAACGACGAGGAGCTCAACAAGCTGCTGGGCAAGGTGACCATCGCGCAGGGTGGGGTGCTGCCCAACATCCAGGCCGTGCTGCTGCCCAAGAAGACCGACAGCCACAAAGCTAAGGCCAAGTGAGCACGACGAAAAACCGGCTCGCTGCCTTTTCCAAACGAGATAATCCAAAGGCTCTTTTCAGAGCCACCCACAAAATCATAAGAGAGCCTCGTTATCCATGACATGGTTAAGCAGTCTTACATCAATTAACTCCACCACTGTTTTGCATTATTTTCTCCATCTTTATTAACAATAGTTTTGGCTTGGTGATAGTAGCAACGCTTTCCATCTTTTTGTTAACAAAAAGTCGTGAGAAAAAGTGTCCTCCCCAAAGCAAGTTCTTCCTGGAATGGGGTATTTTCCGTCCAGTGCTGAATCCAGAGAACCCGGGAGCAGTGCGTTTCGGTGAGAACACCCCTCCCACCCCCCTCCGCCGCGTTTTTTCTCCGCGAAAGCAGCTGAAACGGCACCAAAGAGCCCAGGCGAAGGAGGGGGGGAAGGAGCAGCGAGCGGGCCAGGCCCTCCGATAGCCAATCCCTGGTCAGGGCGGGCTTTTTCAATACTTGAAGTTCCTTTTCTCTCTCACCGCGAACAAAAGCAACGGGAGAGCTCAGGGCTATTTTCGCGTCAGTGAGTAAACCCACGCCTCCTCCCCCGAAGAGGCAAAACCATTGAAGGAGACACCTTAAGAGAAATAATACAATCGATTAGACGTGGCTCAGCAGTAGCACGCCTGACAATTGCGTTACTTTTGTTAAAAAATGTATTATTAAAAAAACATACATCCGATTTTTATCAAATCGTTACTATAAAACATTGCTTTCTGGTAGTCAAACCAATTACTCGCCAAAAAGATGCAAAAGTCTACACTTCCCTAAAGCCGCCGCGTTCTACCGTGCTCGTTAGCGTTTCTTTCGGTAATCGTCGGGGAAAAAAAAGGCACAAAGGACCTCTAACGACTTACGAATTACCGGATCCTTGCTGCAGGCTACGGACGACCTCAGTGCCTCAGCTCCTTTAGGGAAAGTGTGGGTGGCTCTTAAAAGAGCCGTTGGATAACAAAGTTTGCAGAGCAGGACTCTTCCGGTAAAATTTACATCTTCTTGGGTGCCGCTTTCTTCGCCTTGACTGCTTTGGGCTTCACCGCTTTCGCCTTGGCCGGGCTCTTCGCGGCTGCCGCCGCCTTTTTG